AGAAAGAAAAAAATAGGTTCAGGGAGCCTGATTATTGTTCAGGAATCTTCATATAATTTCAGGATACTTTTTGAAGACTCATGAGCTTGGAATAGTTCAGGGAATTATGTACAAGTTCAATAAATTCCATTCGTGGAACTTCAACGAAACAAATCAACGAGAAACGTAGAAGTGCAACAAACTTTGTTGAAGTTTTGAAGATTTCGTAGCATTTTGAGAAGTTGCATAAAATTTCAACTAAGTGCAGGGAATATTGAAGATGATCTCAAACTAGTTCAGCAAACTTCTTAGATCTTCAGGGATCTTCGTTTCAGCTTAGGGAACTTCGTTGCATATTGTCAAAGATTCAAAAAAGTTCAAAAGCTCAATGAACTTCTTGGAAGTTTTGGGAACTTCGTTAAAATTCAAAGAATTTTCCAGATGTACAAGAATATTTGTAGATGATGGAGGTCTTTCCAGAAGTAATAGTAGAATTAAGAGAAATGTAAATTATATAGAATTTGGAATCAATTCAGGAAACTTCGAGGAATGAAATTTTAAGGGAGGCTTTAGGAAGTTTTGTAGATGTGTTCCCTCAACATGTGTTGCGTAGGTTACAGCATATTCTTTAAGACATCCATCCAAAACAGCAGGTAAAATCATAGAGGTAACTCTAAGACCAGAAGGTCCCGAAGAAACGTGCTCAACTTTTTGGCTGAGCTCTGGTACTATCTTCGGTCCCAAGCTAATCGATGCACCCCTCGAATCATAGGAAAATTCACGAACCCCTCATTTTATCTGTCAAACTTTCATAGCGAATCAAAACAAACATAGTGTAGTACTGGAATTTATACTATGGGGTACGTTGATCGATTTGCTTGGGACCAATAGGCCAATTTAAAATCGTTAGTTTCGAATCGATTGTTGGTAATATTCCAAAGATCTCCAGATAGACGAAGATATTGGTAAAGTTCTTTGGATATCATAACTCCATGATCTTGAAAGTTAGTTAGTCCGAGGCATTGAAAAAAAAGTCATGATAAATGCTTTCTATTTTTTTTTTAATCAAACATAATAATCTGGACATTTCAAATCCGCTAGGTAGGGGAAATGGATGTAATGTTTGAGACAACAAAACCCTACCCCTAGCTTCTAACCTGATCCTATTCTTCAACAATGTACCCCTCTAACATCGAATAAGCCGCAAGTATTCGGCCCAACTCCTACTAGACCTAGATATAAGTGAATTTTTTTTTTAAAACAATGAACAATGAATTATTGGTTCCGTAAAGCTAACGCGATTGAGCCTTCCAAATAAATGAACTAGATAAAAAAATGGATGTAATGTCGGCCTTACTTCTTCTTCTTCTTCTTCTTCTTCTTCTTCTTCTTCTTCTTCTTCTTCTTCTTCTTCTTCTTCTTCTTCGCATTTCAAGGTTATTGCAAATCGCAAATTAGCTTATTGCGTGCTCTCAACTTAGTGTTCTAGATGCACTTCCACAGTTATTAATTGTGAGCTTTCGATGCCTGTACCATTTTTGCATTGGTATATTTGTGTGGCAAGTCCAATCATACTTCTATGCCCAGGGAAGGCGAGAAATTTTCCAACCCGAAAAATTCCTAGACCGGACCGGGAATTGAACCCAGCCACCTCCAGCATGGTCTTGCTTTGTAGCTGCACTTTAACTGACTGAACTAAGGGAGGCCAATGTCGGCCTAAATGCCCCTAATTTGGGCCCATACATAATTTCAGCTATCGACTAAATTTTCAATAGCGACCAAAAACATCCATAAGTACCGTCCCAATGACGCGTTCCTCTAGGTAAAATTGATAAAAAGCAGATTTTTAGCGATGGGCTCAATCTTAGATCCATCTCAAGGAACAATTTGGGTTTTATGTGGGTTCTGTAGACCATGATTTAGACTTGTTGCATGCTTTAAAACCCCTATAAAACTTGCAATGTTACTTGATATAGGCCAACATTAGAGCCATGTCCCCTAGCTTCAAAATCTAAAGAAAATTAAATTATAATCTGATTTTTTATGATTCTTCTATAAAACTCAGCGTTTATTCAGCTGTCGACAGAAGCAGACCACTCTCAATGTGCGTCACGCGATCGTCTGTTTACTTGGCAGCAACCATTGTGTGGTCCTTCTCATTGTTCTTCATCAGCAGTTCTTTCGGTCCAAGCGTCGTCGACTTTAGAAAGCAACCGTTTCGTGATGAGTGTGTGAGTGCTGACCACGTTGTGTGTCCATTGCTGCAATGGAAGTGCTGTGCCCCCCGTTGGCAATACTGCCTTACAACGAAACTACTGGAAGTGGCTCCATTTCTGATGGAGGAGGCTTTTTGGAAAGCAGAAGATAAAGTGTTTATTGTGTTGTACCTTTTACTATAGTTTTAAGAAGTTTTGTTAAGTGAACAAAAATCTTCAGCTCTGTAAAATTAATTCGATTAAGCCTTATCAAATAAATTAATTAACATTAAATTCCATACTCTGAGATTCAAGATTTTAAAATCTTAATTTTGTTGTTATTCTTATCACGAAGAATTTTCCTTTCGAAAAATGATGTATGTCTCAGAATCTAGATCCCAAGATCTTTTATTAAGATTTTATTTTGAAGTCAGGGAGATTCAAAGCTGGTCCAAGAGCTCGAAACTTTTGGTTATATAATATTTTCCTGGATTAAAAAAAAATTGGACCAATATTTTTCAGTCATAATTATAATATAGTTATTAAAATACTTAATTTTTTATAAATTTTCATGTTCTATAATTAATATGAAAGTACGGTCTAGGAAGAATCTACAGTTATATCTTAATATTAAAATAACCTTTTAATTACATTTGAATTCGCAGAATTTATACTTAAAATTAGTATCAGAGATATCTATTTTTTTAGTGACAAAATCTTGAAAACATATGGGTTTGGGATCTCCAAACCATTTTTATTTTAACTTTCAGAATTTAAAGAATTGTTCATTGACATATATTTTGTATTTTCCCTATATCCTAAATGTTTTCATTCCATGTGCATATTGCCAAGACAGAAAATTTAAAAATTAGGACTTTTGAAATTATAGGACTTTTAGTCCTAGAATTTAGCGTTGGTACCTATGTCGGATATTTCATTGATAATTCAATATAGATAAAGACAATATAGATAACAAACGATCATTGATTATTCAAAATCAGTATGCTTATAAGGCTCCACGAAACGTTGTTTTGAAATAAATATAGTAAAATTTAATGTTTCACCATAAAAATAATAGTTTACATTGCCATTAAAGGTCGTATTACTGGACGAAGTAGAAATGTATCCAACAGGAAAATAAAACAACAAATAGCCTTGCCTTCTTTTGATTGAATGGCAGTTACAGAGTTTATATTTAACCGTAGTTTAACAAAAAAAAAATAAATCTACAGCCTCTCCCTAGGCCCCTTCCAGTAATAATTTAAAGCTACGTCAATGGAAAGGTTCTAAAATGATCTAATGTCCATTTTAACTATCACATCTTAGATAACCACTTGTAGTTTTTTTTTTCGATTACTCCTGTATTAAGGATTCACGATCCCGACTGGACACATGACATGAACATGGATATCTTGATATCTTAAGCCGCAGGAACAAATATTTGAATTAGCTAAGTTTATTCTGTATAAATGACTAGCTAATATGCAGTTTTTTGAAATATTCGGGACATGTTTTTGGTTAAGGGGAAGCTTCCCGAGCAAAGTCCAGCATCAACATGACAGCAAATTGAAATCCAGTTTTGATATCAACATCAAACTGAAATCCTAATTTGATTTCAGTTTATGCAATTGATAAATTTCGTTTTCATTTTGCTGTAGATTTGCTCTTCAAAAATATGTTGTTGCGGGTTTGTTTTCATTGCCTTAGCATAACATCAAATTGATTACTTGTTTTGTTATCAACAGGAAAAATTGATATCAAATTGAGTTTTCAGTTTGCTTTCACTGATAGCAGGAAGATTTTTTTGCTCTAAATTTTGATATTTTAACCGTTAAAACGACCAAAACGACAGTAACTTGAGTAATCATTAACAGCGAAATCACAACATCAAATTTAGATTTCAATTTGATCCCAGACTTTGCTCGGGTTACCACACTGCAAAAAAAAAATGTTTTGATTTTTTTTTAATGTTGAATAATTAACCACTCCATTTTTTTTAAATTTTGTTCGATCACACATATAATCATAAACTCTGCTTGCGGGAAACATTTCATCAAATTCTAAAACCCTTTGGCCCAAGCCTGTTTGATAGTAAAAAAAAATCCCCACTTGCCAAACCATCTTAAACTACAGTAACCCCTCCCTGTATGCCATGTGTGGTCCCGTCCACCCACCGTTGTTTCTCGGCAGTCCTTCAACTAATTATGCTGATATTAGTTATCTACCGAAGATCAGCTCAATTGGTGGAAGAACAGCCGAAAAATAGCGATGGGTGGACGTTAATGTATTTGAACCTAACTACTACTGGTCAAATTTCCACCTCGTAGCCACCTACAAGCAAATCATAATTTAGTTAATTTCAACTGAATGCGTTTCACTATGAAATCCACTGCATCATTCTAACTTCATTCTCCCCTACATGCCCGGTAATGTTCAGTGATCAAACAAATAATGGTCTCACCACGCCACATCTCAGCAAAAGCGCCTCCGGTATCAGTGGACGCCAGCGACCGTCGTCCACTCATCGTGCACATGTAGGTATCCATCCATTCATCTGCGAGGTGTGTTATTATAACTATACTATCAAGCTTGAACACTCTACCAGTCGACAAAGTACAGTCGACCAGACCGGATTAGAACAGTACTGACAACGGTGACGACGCCGCCCGGACGTGTGTGCGGATTGAAGGAAGCAAAATCGCGCGCGCAACTTTTGCCATACATATGTATCTTGGATCACGCTTTTGCACAGCTCGTCGATATTAGTTTTTTCGGCACTAATGTGCAATCAGTGGTATTGGTTGTAGCTGCAACAGAGAGTGGTAGTAGTTTCTAGTGGGTATAGTGTAGTATCTACCTTCGGGTGTCTAAGCAGTTGTTGTTGACATTGCCTGCAGTTGTGGGTTAGTAGTTCTGAGAGATCAAATCCTCGGCCGTCCGTCGTCAGGAGCTTCACGTGATTTTTGGCATCGCATCTCAGCCAACCGTCAGTTGGTCGTGGGTCGTGGACGAGTGCGGTTCGGTTTTCTTGGACACATGCGAGGATTATCGATCTACCAGTTGAGTTGAGTTGCATCATTGGAACTCTCCAAACTCTGAACAGGATCCTTGGAAGATACTCAGAGTGACATTAGGTGTTGTATTTCAAACAACTTGTCGTAGTTGTCCGGGAGTAGTGTGTACCGAGAACCAACAAACGGCACAATAGTTCTATTTAGAAAACAGTCTACATTCTCGTCGCGCCGCCCAAGGCAAATGTCAGTGCAGTTCCTGCAGTGCGTTACGGTGTACAGTGTTGCGAATCAGCTGCGCCAACCATATTAGGGTAAACAATTAAAACTAGATTGTGCGGTTTGTGAGCTGTGAGTCTACAGCAAGTTCCATTCCACTGTTGAGGTGAGAGAGGTGGCTTTTAAGCGCGACTTCTAAGCAGTGTTCAGACGGCAACTAGTTGAAATTCCAGTTGGGACGGCTAACAGCCCTTAGTGTATGTAACCTACTGAGCACACATTCGTCATTATTGTCGGTAGCTGAAGTTCAACCGTTGCTGTCCAAAAACGTTTTTCAAGGTGAGTTTTGTTTTTGTGCCATATTCGCCTCCTCTCCATCCGTCTAGATGGGTAGGTGGCACATACGGAAAACAGAAACCTTTCAAAGCATCTATACACAGCGAATTAAAGGGTTTTGACCGAAAGCGATTGGATGTTGTTCAAGTTCAAGTTCATGTCCTCGTGTGTGTGGTAGCGAAAGATGCCATCGAACTGAGCTACCCAACCCGTCGGATGTGATGCGCGAGTGATGCTGATTTGGCCGGCGCAATGTTTTGAAATCAAGTGCAAGATACCTTCGGTCCGTGTCGCGTGCTGCTCGTCCATCGGTTGCAGTCGATCTTGATGACAGATGTTGGTTATTTTTAGTGGATGTTTAACGGTTGGTGACATGAATCAATGATGAGGATTTCAATTTTGTTTACATTATTTTGTTGGTGAATAATTGTTTTTCTAGCCGAGAAGTTTGCCTAAGTGGACGAAGGGATTTGCTCTTAAATTTACCTTTCAATGGGTTTATTTGTATCCCAAATTTAAACAAGATATGAAACTTGTTTTACATAATAGTTATCTTTTGAATCTAAGGAACATGGTTATTTATTTAGAATTTGAATAGTTTTTTTTATACAAAAATCAAGCGACTTAAAATACATTTAATTCTACCTCAGATTTCGTTAAGTTGGATCTTCGATCATTAACGAAGAAGAAATTGCCTGAAGTTGTGATATATTGCTTGGATTATTAGTTAAGATGGTTATTAATCCATGATGGTTTGCTGTAAGTTCATATCCCATAACAATTGACACCATGGCATTAGGAGCTAACAAAATATCAAAAGAAAAAAAACTAAATGTTTGAATAGTTACAATTTATGTATATTCAAGGTTGCAAATATTCATTTCAATTTAAAAAAAATGTTTTTCGCAGTCATCAATTGAAGAAAAAGTTGCAAAGTATGTGTTTGACACAAAAAACCTGTCTATTTTGCATTCATTAGGATTGCAGGCAGTCTTTTTATCAGTTTTCACTCACTCAAAAGCAAAATTGAAAGGTTAATGTGTCAAACACAAACTTTGCAATACTCTCTTGTAACTTATTAGTAAAACATGTGATCATAATATATATTCATTTCATTATACAGAAGTATTTTTTTTATGCAAAATGAGCATTTGCAAATTTAATTTCAATGAGAAAATATGAAAATATGTTTAGAGTACATGAGCAAAGTTACAATCGCATAAATCAATTTCGATTATAGAAATATTCATAAGCTTGGGTAAATCAGTTCGTCTGTTTTATATCGTCCTACGTCTGCAACTACCGTGCTTTTCGATATATTAGCAGCTACAAATATGTTCAATTTAACGATTACAAAATACTAAATTTTTGGAAGCACCTGCCGGCAGGCATGGAAAATTATTTACATTCATTGCGTGCATTCATTTACATTCATTGCGTGCATTCATTTACATTCATTTGCCTCTAACTTTTTTAATCAATAGCATTTCGCAAAATAATGTATAGAGCTTTAGTAGGTTTTTTTCATTAGCTACAACTTTTGCTTATAATTCAAATCTGTATCTCTTATGCATCATGAATTAGAGCGGGCAGAACTTGTTACTGTTTTTCAGTGAATGTAAAATACATTCATTGAAAAACAGTAGTGGCTTCTGTTCGCTTTGGCTCGTCATGCATAAGAGAAACGGATTTGAGTTGTGGACAAAAGTAGTAGTTTAGAACAAAACCTACAAAAGCTCCATGCATCATTTTGCGATATTCAGTTGATGAAAAAGTTAAGGGTAAATGAATGCACGAAATGAATGCAAATGATTTTAAATGCCTGTCTGCCGGAAAGTGACATACAGTGATAGACATTCGTTTAGCCGACCCCTATTTTTTCTATGTGTTTCGGAAATAAGACACAACGTAATTCTTTTTTTTTTTAGGATTGGCCTCTTTTATTTTCAACAAAGTCATCATTAAAACTTAACATTAGTTCACGTTTGGATAACAAGATAGATATAACATTGGAAATGGGAGGACATTCGTTTAGCTGAATGGTTCAATTGAAATGTTAAGATGACTTATAATAGCGAATTTCCAAGACAATCGATAGCCAATATTCGGTATGGCCGCCATCGTTTAGGATTACTCCAAAAATTCGGTTTGGCATCGAATCAGATAACTTTCGCAGTGTTGCCATGTGGATTTTGGCCCAACATTTTGCAGTGAATTGCTGTTTTAAGACTGGAAATGCTGTCAAACTGACGTCCGTTTGCATAAACCATTTCGGCCAAGATTCCCTAGAGGTTTTCTATGGGATTACAATCAGAACTGCGAGCTGGCCAGTCCAATCGCGGATTGTGTTTCTCAACAAACCAAGACTTGGATTGCTTGGAGACGTGAATAGATGTATTTTTGTTTTTTTTTTTATCCTTTGGTTTGTTTTTTCCGTCGATCTTGTTTTCCGTGCTGAGCACCAATGCTACCGACGTGCCAGGAAGGCAGCTCCCACACCTGGACTCTACCTATCGACCCATCAACTCATGAACCAGGGACCAACGGCTTTACTTCCCATCCGAAGGAAGGCGTGATCAGAGATGTTATGCCTCAGAACATCCCGGCGGCGCCGACTGGGATTGAACCCAGGTCTGCTGGGGTGAGAGGTAATCACGCTTACCACTACACCACCGGCGCCGTTTTGAATAGATGCATTATCCTGCTGAAAAGCGATGTCGTTATTTGCCTCGTTCTCAATATGACCGATCAAAACATTTTCCAAGAGCCCCAGGTACATTTCGGAAATCATCCGGGTTGATATGAAACAAATCGGGAGCTTTACATGGTAGAAGAAGGCACCTCATACCATCAAACTTCCACCCCCAAAGTTTCGCTTCGATCTCACAACATTGGTTTGATTCAAATCTTGCCAGTAGCAACTTTAACAGTCCGGTCCGTCTAGATTGAACTTTTTCTCGTCAGAAAACACAACATTACACCATTCTGTCTTCCACTCCATGTACTTCCGGGTGAACTTGAGCCGGTTCTGCTTAAGAGTGAGGTTAAGCTTCGGTTTTCCTTGCAGTTTCTTCCATTTGATGTCCGGCGATTTATTCAAAATCCGAGCAATTTGTCCTTGCTGATTATAAGTTGTTCTGCCGATACGTGTTAAAATCGACTGGAAAAATGTGATATTGTTTACGAAAAAACTATTTATTTTGCACCTCGGCTAAACGAATGCCTAGGGTAAAAACGTTGTTTGAATGTTTACATCCGCTGCTGCCGGTTCGGTGTTTCCTTCTCGTGAAAGCGGTTCACTACACTACAACTAAGACTGAAAATATCCTAATTTAAAACATGTTTTAGATATTTTTCTCAGCTATTTTCAATAATTAAGCGCTCGGCTAAACGAATGTATATCACTGTACCGTATCTATGCGTGATAATGTTTGCACCATTGAACAATGTCAAAATTTAAAAAAAATCTCAAAAATTTCTTTTCGAGTTTTTTTTTATTTATTCAAAGAGGGGATGTTTCTCAGAGTCTTAAACTATGTTAATCATCGATCGAGTTTACACTTGCTGCAATTACGGCCTCCACACGCTTCCGGAATGCACGGCAGGTTCTAATAATGTAGTCTGGATCCATTGCTCTCCAGGTAGGGTCAATGTTTGTCTGAGGTTTGCTGTACTCGGGTGGCGTTTAGAACAGGCCTTGGCCTTCATGAGGCGCTATATTGAGTAGTCCAGCGGATTAAGATCGGGGCTGGATGGCGGCCACATATCCTTCGACCAGAACGGAAGATGTTCCTGCAACCATTTCTGAGTGCGGTTCGAGGTGTGGCACAGAGCCCCATGTGGTTGAAATACAACATTTGGCTTCAGACCGTACTGTTCTTTGATCCACGGAAGAACATACTTACTTAAAATCCTGATGTAGACCTCCTTGTTGACCTTGTCGCCTTCTGGAATGAACACCGGGTCCATTTTTTTTGCCATCGGAAGCCACTAATCCAAACACCATAACGCTAGCAGGATGCTTGGTCAGATACACGTTCTTGTGCTCGTCGGCCACGTCTTTTACCGGAAGAGAACTAATATATCGGTTGATTCTGGAATTTGATACGGGATCGACGGTAAACATGCTCTCTTTGGTGAACAGGATTACCGGATTTTTTTGCTTGAGGAAGTTCAAGATTTTCTTGCATCGTTCGACTCGTAGCTCCCGGATGCGGTTGGTAATCATATGAGTTTTTTTTTCGTGCCCTCGACTTCGCCCCGTAATCTTCCTTTACGATCTTCCGTGCCGTAAAGTCACTGATCAAGTGTTCCTTTGCCAATCTCCTTATTGAACGCACTGGATTCACCCGAATCTTCCTTTTGATAGCAGCAATAACCCTCGGAACCCGAGCTGACCTCGGACGACCTGTGGCCACCTTAGCGGATAGTTGTCCTTTCTTTTCTCGGTCTAAAACCCTTTTGACGGTCCACAGGGACACTCCCACGGCGATTGAAATGTCTTTTTGCGACATTTGCGCGTGGGACAAATCACGAATACGCTGTCACTTCGTCATGGTGCAACTGTCAAACTAAGTAAATCATTTTCTTTTATACACAGCCTACTACGGTATGAGCTATAGGTTACGTGCATGCAAAGAAAACCAAGGCATTGTATGCACAGCTGAAACGGGAACGTTATTTGTACGATGGTGCAAACATTATCACGCATACGGTTCTAGGTAAAATAAAAGGATTGGTAATCGTAGAATTGAACATATTTGTAGTTCTGTGACTAAGGTTTCAGCTCAATTGATCATCAGACAACAAAGTTACATTGTGTCAATGTTGAAAATCGGCGTGCCCTGCTGTTATAACGAACAGCACTGTAGGCAAGGTTGCAAAGACTCATTTCAGCTAAAATAATGTTTTTCGGAATAATAAAACCAAAAGATGGTATGATGGCATGTTTTACTTGTAACTTACAAGAAGAGGTTACAAAGTATGCGTTGGAAACATAAAAC